TGTTATATGTTAATTGAATTAAATGATTATGTTTTATTAATTTTCAGCAGAGTCAAAAATTACAACAGCGACGACACAGCCACCGACCACTACTACCGGTATGTAGATATCATCATCATCATCATCATCATCATCCTCAATCATCATCATCATCATCATCATCATCACTCCGTCTATCCCCTAATGGGAGAGGTGGGGGTCAGATCGTCTACAGCGCTTCTTACACTGTTTTAATGTTATATGTTAATTGAATTAAACTAATAGATGTTTATAATATCCATCCAGGTAGGGAAAAACATCACTTCTACGATATTTTCCTGACGCAAACACACATCCAAATAGTTATACATTTAATTAAATTAAACGGTTATGTTTTATTAATTTTCAGCAGAGTCAAAAGCTACAACAGCGACGACAGGGCCACCGACCACTACTACCGGTATGTAGATATCATCATCATCATCATCATCATCATCTTCATTCCGTCTATCCCCTCAAGTTATGTCGTCTCCTCTCTCTCTCGATCCACTCTCCCCTGCGACCTCAATCTGCTTTCTCTTATCTTTTCTCTCAAACATGCAACTTATACTTCCTGCCTTAAATCTTCATTTCTCATTATCTTCTGCCTTTTCATCCTCTAAATCGTTCCCAGACATATCCTCTCTGCCACTTCCAACTGCTTTACCTGCTTCTTTATATGCTTACTTATATTTTTATTCATATCTTGATACCAACATATATATATTAAGGCTTACATTTATACACATGCACGAATGAATACAAACCATATGTAACCATGGAGGTATTATTGAGAAGGAGATCACTCGGCAAAGCCACGCGTAAGCAGCGCTATGCAAATGAACCAAGATCAAAGTTGCCGCAGCGCGTAAAGAACGTTTGTGCGATGCCTTTGAAGTCCAATGTGTTCCCGCCATCAAATTTTCAGCAGGCATAGTTGACCAAAAAAATGAACATGACGAAATGGAGAGCACCTTCTTTTCTCAATGCGCACTACATACTGTCAATCACTATGGCTGCGCAATCTTTTCTATTTTGAAGCTGATACATTTATCTCCCATAAAATATTAAACATATTAATATTTTCCTCCAAGAAAAGTTTCGAATTTAATGGAACATTTACATGACCTATAAAAGTATAGTATATTTCAACTTCAATTTTCATAAATTGGCCAAAATTCGCCAATTCTAATTTTAACAGATAATAATTAATAAATGATTAAGGATTATAATAAACTAAGTCATTTTAGGGTTAACGAGGGTTAACTATAAAAAACGAAAAATGAATCCAAAATCTGAGTATTTTTCAGTTTTACGCTGACTTAGATTTATAGTCGAACCAGTCAATCTTTAGACAAAATTATAATGAAAACAGAAGGAATTTTAACATAAATATTTTACGGAATCCGTTCCTGAAATATACAAATAATAACATACCAAAAGCCCGAAAAAAATCTAATCAGGGGAACATTGTTCATTATAAAGATATTTATTGGGTTAAAATCAAACGTTTTATTGCACAACTGCTCTGCTGGAAGCGTATCATGTCGTTGCCAAGTTGTTGCTAACGAAAAAATGTGAATTATAGGGTAATACGCCCGCGCGCAATCCAAAAGCGGGGAACACATAGGTTTGTCGCGTAGAAGGGATCTGTTGACGAGTGATCTCCTTCTCAATAATACCTCCATGATGTAACATACTTATTTTGAAATCTATTATTATCATTAACAATATCATCATCATCATCATCATCATCATCATCATCATCATCATCATCATCATCATCATCATAAACAGTCAGTGGCGGCTCTAGGGTATATTTTCTGGAATGGTGGGCTGAGCTGTCCGACAGGAGGACTTGACCTCGTAGGCCAAAGCTGGGGGAATTGTTTTAGAGGGTGTTCCCCATCCAAAATGAGATTTTATAAAGGAGAGGAACTTCTGGATTGCCAGAAATGACATTCTCAGATTGGGACAGGCATGTGTTGGCTTAGCGTGGGCCTATTTTTATATTTTTTTCAGTCCGACTGCCCGACGAGCTCTGTCCGATGGGGGGACTTGACCTGCCCGGTGGGGCTTGACCTGTCCGGTGGGGGACTTGACCTGTCCGGTGTGGGGGGTGGGGGGGGGGGGGGTGGCTTAAGTCCCTGCTGCTCTCCCCTGGCGCCGCCATATAACGTCAATATTATCATTCTGTTGACATTGCTAATCGTTCCTGTTATAAACCATTTTTTTTTTTTTGTTATTTGATTGGTCCTAAGCTACGTTTTCTTGATAAATTGTAGATGTTTTTTTGAGGGATTTATTTTTGTAGTTTCTTCTTACTTTATTTGAACAATTCTGGTTGTAACTTGTACGACAGTATTGTGTTAACCAATTTACATAACATATGTATGCATTTGAGAACCCTCATCCTTTCTATTAAATTTGTTCTCTTTTTTTTAAATCTTGGAGCGCATTCATATTGTATTGTATTTTGATATGTTATCTTAAAATTGAAAATTATTATATAAATCAAACTATGTAAATATATTATAGGCCTTTTTTTACATGGACATTATAAACAAGATGTACAAAATAGTAGAATCAAGCATCCCAAGCTCATCGACTTTATCACGCTTCGACTGTACTAGCCTATGGTGTGATATTTACCCTCATGCATTATTAACTGAGTTTCAAATAAATGCAATAATTTCCATTTGTTTTAGGTTTTACTGTCTTCACTTCAAACCTCATTTTGCTGATGGTGTTTACTGGGACAGCGGTTGTAGTCTTAGTTACTGGATGTGTTTGTGTTATGATGGCTTTCGTAACAAAGCAATCTAATAGAATTCAGCCAACTGGAGGATAAGAGCATTATTATCGTATTTGACGTCAGCGCAGACCATATCGTTTCACTTATCTTGTACAAAGCGAACATTCTTGTGAATTAATAGTAGATCTGATTAGACATTTTATTACTTAAACCCTACTGTTGAACCTCTTAATTTTGTTGTTTTAATTCGCTCTG